GCAATGGAGTCAGACATCTATGGACTGAGAACTATTAAACTGTGAGCCCCAAATAAACTTTTCCTCCTCTAAGTTGTTCTTGTCGAATATTTGTGTCACAGTGATGAAAAAGCTAACACCCTGCCTCTCTATATAACTGCTCTACCACCAGAAAAGTGTTTCTCCCTATGCCTATACTTTCCTACATGCTGGGTACAGTTCACTACTGGAGGTTCCAGATTGGAGCCAGTACATTTGAGGCATCTATAAAAGAATTTATTCTTTTTTTTAAAAAAAAATTATTTGTATACATATTTTTAGTTGAGGTTGGACCCTATTTTATTCATTTATTTATATGTGGTGCCGAGGATCAAACCCAGTGCCTCATACATGCTGGGCAAGCACTCTACCATGTATCCACAACCCCAGCCCAATAATTTATTATTTATTCTGTCTTTTGTGTATATATATAAGGAGGGGGTAGATTTTATGTGTAAAAAGTAAATACATCAAAGTACAAACAGCAGTCACATCCAGGTTTTCAATTTATGGGTGGTTTTAACTGCTTTTCATAGTTCTGTTTTACTGAATCCAGTTTGCTTTGATAACCAGAGAGTTCTTAGGACAATGATTTCTTTAGAATGGGTTTTGAATCTCCTTGGTTCGTTCTTGCATTCTTCACATGAGGAAGAGTTGGTCCAAGGAAAGAACAAAGTCTCCACTTCTACCTGATATCAAGACACTCTTCATTTGAAACATGTTTTTATCAAGAAAAAAATTCTGGGGCTGAGGCTGTGGTCAGTGGTAGAGCACTTGCCTAGCACGTGTGAGGCACTGTGTTCAATTTTCAGCACCACATATAAATGAATAAAATAAAGCTCCATCAACATCTAAAAAATATTTTTTAAAAAGTAAAAACGTCCTTTGTTTTACATGGATTATTAGTCCAGTCACCTGGCCCTAATCCTGTATAGTCCTCACCCCGAAGAGATGCAGAAGCACACATTTTTGGTCTATTGTTGGCGTTCTATGACAGGTAAGAGGTGCTTCTCATCCTTACACCTTTCCATATGTTGTCTGTGGATGCCTTTACAAGAAGGGTCTAGGTTGGAGCCAGTACTTGAAGTTGAGAGAGACAAACAGGAGTGGAATTGTTGATGGCAAGGGCCTCCATGGGGGTGTGGGTAGGGAACATGCCAACCGCCACATGCTTCTCTGCCTCTTAATTTCTGTATCTGAAGGTTTTGCAAGGCCAACACCCCTAGTAGTCATGTGCGCAATTCTCCTTGCACCACTTATGTCCTTTTCTGGTACCAACTCTAGGAACGAAGCTTGATTCTTTCACCACCTCCACTCACTTCCCTTTTCACCAGAAGATTCTCTGTAACTCAAAGTCCTTCCACTTTTCACAACTGTGGGTCAAGGTATTTATTGGCAGACACTGTTAACTGTTATTAATTATTAAGGGTAAAAAGTTAAGGCATTGTGCTATAGTAGAAAGAGCATGGAGTTCAATACCAGGCAAGTTGGGATTGGAATCCAGGCTTCACTAACTCTCAACTTTGGATAAGTGATTGAGTTGCATATCTGTAAAATGGAGTCAAATATCTTTCCTGAAGAACTTAGTGGGGGTATCTATTATACTTATAATTTATGTAGCTGTGGAGATCACTGTATGACTTCATTTTTTGCAGTGTTACAATGATATACTTGAGGCAAGCAAACTTTATAAAGAAAATAAGTTTATTTAGCTCTCAGTTTGGGAGTTTCAAGGGCATGGCACTGACATCTGTTCAGCTCTGGTTAGGGTCCTGTTGGCTGCATTACATGGCTGGAGCACTTGTGTGAAGAAGAAATCTCATCTTGAAACAAGAAGCTAGAGAGTGACTCGGGCTCAGGCTCAGGCTTCTATAACAAATTGCTCTGGCAAGAACTCCAGGACACCAGTATCCCCTTCTGAGGGTGATTCCCCAGTGGTCAAAGGACCTCCCACTAGGTCACCTCTTAAAGGTTCCACCACCTCTCAATATTGCAACCCTGGGTACCAAGCTTTTAACACAATAACCTTTGTGGGGATAAACAACACCCAAGCCTTAGAAGTCACCAATAGGATAACAGCCATAAAGTCTCACATAGTAGACACTCAATGATATGAGTAGGCCCTCAGTGAATATCCATTATATCCATTACCTCATCATTACAGAACAGAACCCAGAGGGCAGGGAAAGGAGCCAACACTTGTGGGGGCTTGGAAAAATTCAGTAGCTTGTTTGAGGTCACACAGCTAGTGAATAGCAGAGCAGGTGTCTGAACCAAGTTCTCTGGATTCAAAACCCAGGCTCTTTCAACAGATATCTCACTGCCCTTACCTTCTTGTGCTCAACCCAGAATTAAGGGAGTATCAGGCAGTTTACCATGAAAAATGTCTTCTTGCAAAATTGGGTAATCTCATCAAACTATATAAAAGTCAACACACAGAACTACAGACATTCTAGTGGACATCAGAATGTACTGTGAAAACCTAAATAAGCCAACCAGAATGAGAGCTAGGGTGATTTGTTCACGTTACACTAGGGATTAAAGCAAAGGTCCTGGTGGGGAGGCTGGGTTGTGGCTCAGCGGTAGAATGCTTGCCTAGCACATGCAAGGTGCTGGGTTCGATCCTCAGCACCACTTTAAAAAAGTAAACAAATAAAATAAAGGTATTGTGCCCAACTGTAACTAAAAATAAAATATTTTTTTAAAAAAAGGTCCTCAAATTTCAGCTAAGCCCAATTTCCAGCACTGCTAGAGACAGAAGAGGAGGAGCCTGAGAATTTGCATTCATAACAAGTTCCCAAGTGATCCTGATGCTGCTGGGCCATTAAAAACCACATTAAAATGTACCATAATACTCTCAAATATCATCTGTGTCTCACCTTCCTCAAATTCCAATGAACTATCAGTACATACAAGAATATCACAAGGGCTGGGGCTGTAGCTCAGTGGTAGAGTGCCCGCCTCTTCACGTGTGAAGCTTTGGGTTCAATCCTCAGCACCACATAAAAATAAATAAAAATATTGTGTTCAACTACAACTAAATTTTTTTTAAAAAAAGGATATCAGAAAAACATACCCTAATTCAGAAAATCTAGCTTTAAGATCTGATGTTCCTGATGGACCCTTTTGTCTATAACACTCCCCTCCCAAGTAACCAAGGCCCTTTCAATATCACAACTCTGAGGAAAGTGAGAATGTTGGCGAGGTAGGATCACTTTTTATTCTCTTCCCCCATTCCTGTCCCTATTCCAAATAGGTAGCCAGCATCTAACCCTTTTTGCCTCATGAAATTTTTATCTTGTGACCAGACAGTCTAGAATCAAGAGCACTTTGATAGGATTATACATAGGATGGAGGGGATGGTCATGCCTTGGAGGGCAGAAAGGCAGGAAGGAAATTTCTGTGCATGAGATATCAAGGGACATTGGGGAAACAAGGCCTCAGGAAAATGACTTCTGCATACAGAGGGAAGCTGTAGGCTTTAGTGATCAAGTTACACACAGAACTACAGACAGGTAAGACAGTAACTCCCTAGGCTTTAGGGATCAAGCTTAAGCAGAAGCAGCACCCTCCCACCTAAGTCCCCTTTCCCCCCACATGCCCACCAGTCCTGCAGCAGCAGACATGCCCACCTGAAGGGACCATGTGGACTTGGATAGTGAAGGCCTCAAAGAGGTGCCTCCAATTCTTGGGTGACTGGCAAGAAGAGAAGGGGCCCTCTAATAGGAAATGAGATTGAAATTCTCTTCATCTCACTCAGATGGAAGGAAGGATTTAATCTGCCACCTCCCACAAGCCTTCTATACACACTACACAGAAGATATGAGACAAGTATAAACTCTTTATTACTAGTTAGTATCAGAAAACCCCCAACAATGGTTGATCTTGGCGAGCTGTGCTGGATCTCCAGGGGACCTCTGGGAAAGCTGTTCAGAATGGCACCTCCCACTCCCTGGGCTCTACCCTGGCTCTTCCTTGCTTTGCAGCTGTCTTGGTGAAGCAAAGAATCTGCAGATAACAGTGGAAGGCAAGGGGCCCAGGGGCATTCTGGAGATTGCTGGCCTCCTCCAGTTCTATTTATAGTCCAATTAGTCCTTCCAAGAGAAGCACCATACACACATAGTACAGCAGCCCTGAAGTCTCTCTTTGGAATGCATTTTGTTCTTCATCCACTGTTCATTGGAAAGGAACCTGGGATGGGGACAGTCGGGGGCTGAGGACTAGAGTATGTAGCAAATACTTCCCCCAGCACTGTCTTTTTACAACACAGCCTAGTGATCTTTCAGGCAGGCTGCAGTGCAGCCAGGAAAAATAGATGAGTCTCAAGAAAGGAAATCAGCAGAGGATCAGAAAAGCCCTGCCTGTCTTTTTGCCAGGATACTTTCCTGATTTTTTGCCACTGCTCATTCATCTTCTTTGGGATTAATGTGATAAACAATTGGTCACTTAAGCCCTTTCATGAAAGTGTCTTTGACATGCCCCCAGAATCACAAAAGTGGGTTTTTTTTTTTAATCCAAAATTGGATCTTGATGTTATTTCAATTGGGTTTATCCAAAGGTCACATTTCATGCAAGACAAAGGGGACAACCTGATCCACATATCTCAAATTAGGCTTGCTTTTGTCATCTAACCAATCGCATCCAACGGATTATAATGTGTACACTAGATATTAACATAGTTATAGTTTCTAACACATACTAGGCCATCAGTAACTTTTTGTTCAATAAACTAATGAATGAAATTAAACAAATTTGCTACAATCTCTAAGATTACCATTCTTCTCTCAATTGGACTCTGCAATGTCAATCCCTTTTCTCCAACAGAAGGATCGAGTTCTAACAAAATTGGTCTGTTTTGTCTTGTTCCAAAATGTGTGCCAGAATGTGTCCTTCTCCATGATGCCTTTGTTCTCTTTTTAGCTCCAGCCAGTTGAGGTCATAGGTGAAGGCTGCTGAGAGCCAGAAGTGTATATCATGAGGAGTCACACACTGGGAGCCAGAGCTTCTTCAGCTTCACCCAAAGTTCCTGGAGCTTAGAGACACAAAGAACAGACACTATGAATGTTATAAAAACAAACTGAGAAAAAAAAAATGTGAACAGTGCTCCAATCTACAGTACAACAATAACATTGTCAGGAAAAACAAACAAACAAACAAACAAACAAAAAAAACCACCAGTGTTCCTAGAACATAATGTATCTTATGTTCTGAAAACATTGTTATTCCCAGCAGAAGACCTGGTGTTATGGAAAAAGGAGGTTAAGGAGAGTACAGAAAGGAGAAAAAAGAGAGTGTTCTACAATATTAGCTTCTTCAGAATGTTAACCAACAGCAGCCATCCAGAGTCCACCTGTGAACTTAAATGCAATTGGAGAAATTTTCCTTTCAAAGACTAATTAACATATTCAGCAGAATCTCATATTTTTCAAAAATAATACAAATTATATACACACATGTATGATATTAAACTCTTTCTCCAGTTTGTATTAATGTGTTAAAAATGGTTATTGCAGGTTGGTGATGTAGGCCAGTGGTAGAGTGCTTGCCTAGCATTTGGAATGCCCTGGGTTCGATTTCCAGCACTGAAATAAATACTAGTACTGCTTGATGGTGGGATAATGAAATTTTTTTGGGGGTTTCATCTTTTTTATGATGTAAATAAAGGAGATCTTTTTATTTGAAAGGGGCCTCCAAAAATTGATTTATCTTTGGAATATATCGCCATTCTTTTTCTACCTCCTTGAATTCAGTAGGGAACTTGTTTTGGTGAAGGCTTCCCACCTCACTGGTTATCTAGATTTTTCTTACATTTATAGCCGGCCAAATATCAGGAAAAATGAATCATACTTTACATCTCAGGCAGTCCCAAACCCTCCTTCTGATGTCTGAACAAGTTTCTCCTCTTGCTGGGATTCAAAGGCTTTCTTATCTTTTGGCATTCTGGCCATCTGTCCCTAAGGCTGTTGTTTCCTTGGCTTCAGTTAAGCTCAGAGAAGTCTACAGAAGTGAGGCCTCACAGGACTTTCCTCCTGGCTTTAGTACCCTGAGGCTTCACAGGACTACTCCCTGACCTTGGCTCCTCTGATCCCACCACTAAACTAAGGCCTGAATGAGCCGACTGTAGGCCAGGTGAATAGATGAACCCAATGGGCATCTGGACTGCAGCTCCAGCCACTTCTATTGAGATTACTCTGGGTGGGGAGGTGTTGGTCCTGGGAATGCCAATGGGAATGGTGTGAAGAATGGCACTGGGACTGGGTGTGGTGGTGCAACACCTGTGATCCCAGCCGCTTGGGAGGTGGAGGCAGGAGTTCAAAGCTAGCCTCCGCAATTTAGAAGGGGCTAAGCAACTCAGTGAGACCCTATCTCTAAATAAAATACAAAACAGGGCTGGGGATGTGGCTCAGTGGTCGAGTGCCCCTGAGTTCAATCCCCAGTACCAAATAAATAAATAAATAAATAAACAAAAAATAAAGAATGCATTGACAGAGGGGGGTTGAGCAACCTGGGCCCAAGTACAATGGGGTGCCATACCTGTTGGGGATGCCATCTGGGCCTCAGACTCCACATCCTGCGTACCCTGCGACCCTGTGGCAAGCGCCTCTCTCCGTCCCCCTGCATCCACAGGCCATGCCCCAATCCTGTGTTGCTCATCTGGCGACTCAGGAGCGACTTCCTGGGACAGCTCGAACTGGATCAGCCTCTCACGCAGGGCATCGCGCTCCCCCAGCGCTTGTTTCAGGTCATCTCTGGCGCTATGCAACTGAGAAACCACGTCGTCCCTCTCCTCGCGCAGCCGCTGCAGTTCCGAGGCCAGAGCCCAGGCGGCTCCCTCGCACTCCTCCACCTGCCCGCTCAGCCGCCGGACCCGTCGCGCCTGCTGCTCCCGCTGCCTCGCGGCCACTCGCACCCCAAGGGCCAGGGCACTCCAGGCGCGCGGCACCTGAGGGTCGGCCACGACGGACTGCAGGTTGTCTTCCACCTCGTTCCAGGGCCATGAACGGAAGGTCAGGTAGAAGTCTGGGCTACCACCATTACTGAGCACCTCTTCGTTGATAAACACCACCACCTCGCTGTGGCGGAAACCGCTCCTGGGGTCTCCGAAGTCGACGGCCATGGCTGCTGCGGCCTAGTCAGCAGAGCTGCGTCCTCTACTGTAGTAAGCCTTGGGCTACCAACTGGCCCGCCTCTCAATTCCTCTCTCTCTGTGGTGTTTCAGTCCCTGCCCAATCCTATAGCCTCTTCCTTAACCTCCTACCCCCTCCTTTCTCTTCACAAAGCCCCAAGCCTAAAACCAGTTCTCTCTCACATCAACCCCTTAGGCGGCTAAAGCGTCAACGACTTAGCACGTCACAGATAATGGATACTGAGGCTGGCCGCAAGGCCTGCTGGGACCAACATTCCTTGGCAGAGCTCTTCCTGTCAGTCTGGTAGTTGGGCTGCTGCTCTACGGGGCAAGCTAGATGGGGCAATGCGGAGAGTGCAGAGAGGACCCCTGTTTCCAAGAGTTTCTGAAGGACAACATACAGCCACATAGTATGGATTTCTAACCTGGTGAGGTAGGAGAGTGCACGGGTGCACTCTTTGGCTCAACTCCCTCTCCCATTACTCTCAGTTGCTCTATCAAACCTTCTATACAGTCTGCGTGCACTGTTCCCTTCTCATCTTAAGCAAAGATCTTGGAGTCTTGCTTGTCAAGAAAATCAAGGGAATGAGCTATGAAGGCCTCCAGCTTTCCTTGCTAAGCCCTATCTCCAATGCTCCAGATGTCAGTACTTCCTGTTCTATTTTCTCAGGGATTTTATTTCCCTCTTGACTTTCCTGCATTTCCCTCATGTCCTGTGTTACTAGATATGCCATACAGTAAATCTGTTATAGTTCCTTCCATTCTTAAAATAATTTCCTCCCTCTAGCCCATGTCTTGCTTTTCTCATCACCACCCTTTTTTTTTTCAATTAGGAGAATTGTCTGTGCTATGTCCACTTCACTATGTTCCCTCCACCATTCAACCTACTGCACTTTAGTTTTCACCCCCAATGCTCTAGTGAAAATTCTAAAGGTCTTCAGCAGTTCCAACTTTAGTAGAAACACTAATGGATACTTTGAAAGTTAGTTCTCATATCATCTTTTAACAGAGTGCAGTGTTGTTGAACATTCCCTCCATTACACTCTATCCTGTCTTAGTTTCTGCAACATCAAATTCTACTGATGTTCTTCCTTTGCCTCTGGCTTATCTTTCTCAGTTTCTTTGAACTCCTTGTTCTTCTACCCAAGGCTCCAATTTTGGTTTTCTCCAGTATCATCTTCAGATCCCTCTTCTTTTCATTCTCTGTGTTGTCCTTAGATGTGCTTATTCACTCCTATAATTTAAAATGCTACCTCTATCACAACTCTGTATTTCCAATTTAGACTACTTTCTTGGTTATCAGATCCATATCTTTTGTTCCTTTGGCAGATAGTTATTGAACACATAATAATTTTGCTTGAAAAAAGTGGTGAAAATATTGAAAAATCCCTAACCCTCATGCTATTATATCCTATTGGTGAAATAATAAATGAAAAAAGCCAAACAAGTAAGCAAGATATTTATAAATTGTTATGAGTGCTGAGAAGTTAATATACAAGGTGATGTGAAAGATTGGGACTCCACAGGGGTTTGAGATTGTTGTGTGTACATAAGAAGTTCAGAGGAGCTGTAGTTGTAGTTCAGTGGTAGAGCACTTGCATAGCTTGTGTGAGGCACTTGGTTTGATCCTCAGCACCACATAAAAATAAATAAATAGGTCTGGGGATATAGATCAGTTGGTAGAGTCCTTGCCTCACATGCAAAAGGCCCTAGGTTCAATTCCCAGCACCACAAAATTAATTAATTAAGGGTATCGTGTCCATCCACAATTTAAATTTTTTTTAAAAAAAGGTTAGAGATGGTCTCTGAGATGACATATTATATGAGATCTAGAATTCCAGTGTCAAAAGTCTTGATGCAGAAAAAGCTTCACACATCCAAGGAATAGAAAACAGCTGCCAGTGAAACCAAAGCATGATAAGTTAGGGAAAAAGCCAGGCATGATGGTATACACTCTGTAATACCAGCATCTTTGAGGCAGAAGGATCACAAGTTCGAAGGTAGTCTCAGCAATTTAGGGAAACCCTGTCTCAAAAAATAAAAAAAAGTGCTGTGGATGTAGCTCAGTGGGAGAGCACTTCTGGGTTCAATCCCCAGTAACAGGCAAATACACACACACACACACACACACACACACACAGAATGGAATGAGATGCTATTGGAAACAAAGGTGTCATCTCACATGGCCTCAAAAGCAATATTAAGGTGATTTAATTTTATTCTAAGTGTGAGAAGCTGAAACTATAGTGTTTCTATTGGTAGTATCATTAGATCTGAAAAATTTTACTCTGGATTTTGCATGAAAAAGAGATTATATGGTGTCCAGAGCTACAACCTGTAGTAGCTGTTTGTTTCAGAGACATGGTCTGTGATGTCTCATAGCAACCAGGATGGTGATATCAAGTAGAACTTCTGGGACATATAGTTCTGGAGCATAGAAGAGAAATTGGGTTGGAAATATAAATTCGGAAGTCAGTAATGAATTAGTGGTGTTTACCGGTCACAAACCTAAATGAGAACCACTAGGGAGAAGAAAGTCATATAGACATAAGTAGAAAACAATGGACTCAGTCCTGGAGCATTGCAAATTTTAGAAACACAGAGTACAGAAGCACAAAAATGATTCTGTGTTAATTCCTATGTAACTGTGTGTGTGTGTGTGTGTATTACCTTTATTTTATTTCTTTTTTTATATGATACTGAGGATCAAACCCAGCACTAGGCAATTGCTCTACCATTGAGCTACAACCCCAGCCCCCCCTATTTAACTTTTAAAATCAGATAATTATGGTGATATATGCTATTTCAACCACAGAACAATATGAAAAGTTCTGCAGATTATTTTGTGTAGCCATCTTAATAATCAATGACAAAAATGTATTCTCCTAAAGAATGCTATTGACCCATTTCATTTATAAATATTTCTGCAAAGAGATTGCACTGGCATTTCTGTGTCACTTTTGGTTAATGTAAGAGTAATTCCTTGTTGTGATTTATTTTTTAAATTTTCTTGCAGTGTTAGAGATTGAACCCAGGGTCTTGTACTTGCTAGGCAGGCAAGCACTCTACCACTGAGCTACACCCCAGCTATTGTTGTGGGATTCTTGCATTATACATGAAGTAGAATAAGATTTGAAGATGTATTATGATAAGTTAAAAATGCATATGATAAGTTGAAGATGTTTATTCCATGCCATAGAAAAAGATGGACAGTTCCCCAATTCATTTTTGTGAAGTCAACAAAATTTTGATAGCCAATAAGAAAAATAGACTATAGAATAATATAGTTTACAAATACTGACAAATATAGTTTACAAATATCTGCAAAAATTTTATATAAAATATCCAAAAAGGTACTGTACCAATGTTCCTGTGGCAGATATTCTTTGTTAAATCAATAGAAAAGTTTTCACTTTCTTGCTAACATAACCACTACATTGCCCAGACAGTGATATGGCAAGTCCTGCATAGTGTCTCATGGCAAATTTTAGCCAATCTTGTTCCCATTTTGTCAGTGATGGGCTTAGAGTTGGGCATGTAACCCTGTGATGGTCAATGAGGTCTATCAGGAAACTTTCTAGGGATTTAAGAAAAATATTTTCCTTTGTGATTAGGTAGAGTACCAATAGAGTGAAATCCTTTTACCACGAGCTGCCATGTTTTTTTGTTTAGGATGCTGGTATGAAGATGTGTTGTTTGTAGCTTCAGTAATTACCTTGAAGCCATGAAAAGAGATGTGGAAGATATATTTTGACCATCATGCAGAAACAGGGTGAATCCCCCACCCAATTTTTTGTTTGGAGGTCAAGATTGATGATAGCATATGCACACTGATTATGAAAATGTTTCTTTTTTTTTTTTCCACTAGTAGGGTTTGAACAGAAGGTAACTCTGCCACTGAGCTACATCCCCTGCTCCCCTCCTTTTGGTTTTGGGCATTGAACCCAGGGATGTTTAACCGCTGAGCCACCACCCACACCCCCCCCCCCCCCCCTTTTTTTTTGAGACATGGTCATGCTAAGTTGTCCAGGCTGGCCTCAAACTTGTGATCCTCCTGCCTCAGTCTCCTGACTAGTTGGGATTACAGGCATGCAACACTTCATGAGGCCAAAAATGTTTATTACTTACATAATGAATATTCTGAAGAGAGCAGCTAGGCCTCACAAGTTAGTCCAAAAATGGCTTAAGAAATCAAGGAGAGGAGATTTGCTTGGAATTTTAATTGTGGTTAGGGCTGGGGTTGGGATGAGGGTTTCTATGTGTGGATAGGGGCTAGTACAGTTTGAAACTGCTGCTGACACCAAAGGAGGAAACATTAAGGTTTTCTTATCAGCTTGCCCAGATATGGTACTTAAGGGGAGAGTGAAGGGTGAAGCTTAAAAGCTGTTAGTAGTCAAAAATAAAAAAAATGGAGCCATGGGGCTAGGGGTGTAGTTTAGTGGTTGAGCATGTACTTAGCATGTGCAAAGCCCTGGGTTCAGTCCCCAGCACACACCCTACCCCAGTGGAGTCAGATTTTTTCATTATAATTTACCTCTGATGTCTAAGTGATGACAAAAATGTACCATGCTTCATTTAATTGAATTTAAACTTATTTAAATAAACCATTTTGGCACTCTATGAGGCCTGCAGCCTGTAAGAAAGGTAAAGGTTCCATTGAATTCTTTCTTCAAGAACCCAATATTACACATTCTGAGAAATGAAATTAAGTACCTTGGTCACTATCAGTAGTGTCTGGAATTCCAAAGGGGATAAGGAGTATCTGGGTGACCTTGATTTATATTTTACCCAAAATATAAGTCTATGAAGCAGTAGATTATTAGAGTTCTTAACTCAGAGGGAAATCTTGGAGTAGAAATTATTATTGTTGCTATCATCTAGATCAAAGAGTTAGATAATTGGCAATGGCCCAAATAGTCTATGAAATGGTGCAGATGGGACTTATATTCAGTTAGGAAAAATAGCGTTAAGAGACCTGCATGAAGTTTGGC